ATCTTTGTCAGTCATGAATCTGTCTACCGCGATCTTGAATTCTTTTTTCTTTTACAGTTTCAGCAACAGCTGACAGAAGTTTCTTCCACAGAAGCACTGTCCTGTTGGAAAAATAGTATTTCTTTGAGTTCGCGTTAGATCTACTCACATCGAGTTTCTTTCGATGTTCTCTGTTTTGTGTTTCCACGAGTGTATTAATAATGGAAAAGATTTTTATCACTCGCTCTGAGAACTTTGGAAATTGTAATTAGGTCTCCACGAAATCGTCGAAACCTCAGAAAAGGAAAACTCAGCTTTCGCAATCTCTCGATATAAATAAATCATCTGCACTCGCCAACCAATTTTGAGGCCCGTCTTCGAACTCTTTCTATTGCCTCGATCTCATCAATCATCAACGGTGAGCAAACGTTCGCGGCGTGTTCAAGTGTAGATCTCATTGGTGTCACTTGTGCAACAATATGAAAGAGTCCTTAATGAGATATTTAAAATTTCTATGTATCAGTCACAGCAGCATAGAACTTGCGTTGATCATTTCGTGGACTGGACATGAATTGAAAATTTTAACGACTCCAGAAAAGTTACTCCCAAGTCTTTAACTTTGTATACATGTTTATTATATTTTATATATTTATGATTTTTTTATTTGCCTACACATAATTATTTGGCTATCCTCTCTTCATACTCTCCATTTTCTTACTTTCTCTCTTCATACTCTCCATTTTTCTCACTTTCTCTCTCTTTTTTCATTTAATATATGTGGATATATGTGTGTGTTTTTGTGCACGAGTGCGCGCGCGTGCGATTCTCTCTGTGTGTGTGTGTGTGTATGTTTGTGTCTGTATGCGTATACACATACATACATTTTATTTTTATAGAGTTGCTGATATATGTATAATGCATAGATAAAATTATTTATTAATAAGCGCTAGATATCTTTCATTCTTTGTTTTATTGCATCATAAACATCATTGGAGGAATGAAATGTTTTCAATCCATCAATCCGAAGTTTTTTAATTATCATCTTCAACAACATCATCACCATCTTCATCATCATAAACGTCATCATTATCAACATCATCATTATCAACATCCTTATCATCAACAGCAACAACGACTACAACTAAATAATTAAAACATCATTATAGATATATTATCAACATCAACAACAACATCGTCATTCAATCATCCTTACTTTCAACATCGTTAGGATTATGTTTGAGAAGTGGATATATATATATATATATATATATATAGGGCAGATATATATATATATATATAGGGCAGATATATATATATATATATATATATATATATCATAAATAAATCGCCACAGTTCTATTAACACTCTCTCTCACACACGTACACACAAATATATATATATATATATATATATATATAGAGAGAGAGAGAGAGAGAGGGAAAGAAAGAGAAAGAGAGAGGTTGAGTGTAAACAAACAAACTAACAAAGAGCAAAACAAACAAATAAACAAACAAACAAACAGATTATGAATATTAGAAAGATTAGCGTCTTGGCCAACGTAAGAAGACAGACGTCACCGAAAAAACCTCCCTCCGTCCATTCGTCCATTCCTCCATCCATTCCTCCATCCATTTGTCCATCCATCCAGGCATCCAGCGATCGACCCTATGTCGTAATTAAACAAAAAATTGCTGTCTATTCTTTGAGAATTTTAACTCTGAGAAACGTAGATACCGGTTTGTATATCATTCGAGGCTTAAATAAAATAAAAAGATTTAATAAATGTGAAGAAATGATAAGAAACGTAATAAAAATTAGTAAAAAATTATAGAAAATCAACATGAATGAAACATTAGTTTTTAAATGCAAAAGACATCCAACAGTTGATTGTATCCCTGATTACGTATGAATGACGTCAGGTTTTAGTTAAAGTGATATTTATTCTAATGAAAAGGATGACGATGAAGATTATGATTGTACAGTAATTGTACTGTAAGTATAATTATGACGATGATGACGAGTATGATGATGAGAGGCACATTACACGCACCCATGTTTGAAAACCTTAACGAGATATCTTAGGACTAGTGGGGTTGTAGCAGTAAGAGTAGTGGTAGTAGTAGTAGTAGTAGGAGTAGGAGTAGTAGTAGTAGTAGCAGCAGCAGCAGTGGCGAGGGATGTTTTGACAGTTGAATTTCACAACTGAAACAGTACACCTCTGAAATGGAAAACCTGAATGGCAAGGATGAACGAATATAATGCAATCATAAATGGCGCAGTGGAGTTTATGATTGTTTGTACCTATGTTGTGAATGTTCTTCGTGTCTGCATCTGCTTCACAGATGGATGGGTGGGATGGTCACTAAATTAATAACCGAAATATTTTCAAATTTATAAGCATTTCATATGTTCTAAAGTTTTTCGCATTCTCCTCAATGATTCTCCTTTATTTCACATACCTACACACGGACCCAAAATAGTTAAACTAGTAACCGGTAATAAATAAATTGGAGCCCATTACCTACATAATAATTGATCTAAGGGAATTAGTTGACATTTTTTTCCAGTTAACCTATACCGTATTTAAATTTGAACATAAATAAAATTTTTTTAACTTTATAATGTCTAGAAAACAGTTTTTGGATTAAGTAAATGAACCTAATGATTGGGGGAAGGATTGGTTTTGATAAGGATTTTTGTGTGGGGTTGGTGATTTTTTTTTATATGATATTTTGAGTGTTGACTTCCTGAAAGGTTGGAGAACTTTTTAGGGAAATAGTTTTCAATTTTTTTGTTTTTTATCTACACTCTTATTTTTATTTTGCGTGTTAATTTAATAAAATTTTAAGTGATGCAAGTTTTATTTTAAAAAGGCGAATTTTTATTTAATTGTTACTTTTATTATATATTGAAAATAACATGTCAATCTTAAAATTTTAATTTTCCAATTTATTTTTTAACTATAATCTCTTAATCCAAACTTTTTTCAATTTCAACCTGCTAATTTAATTTAAGACCATTCAAAGATCACAACAATAACATCAAAAAACATTGTTTAGTCTTCAGCATGATTAAATATTTTTAAAAATTCTTACAAAAACAGAAATTAGTTTACAAACATAATCAAAAGATGCACCAAAGCCTTATAAGCACACCAATAAGTATATTCTCATTTCGACACATTCATTCATACATACATACACACTCACACTCACACACGCATATATACATACACACATGCATGTATGCATGCATACATAAATACATACATGCATACAAATATTTTAAACCAAAAAGATCTTAGGAGAGCAATGATGAGGAAAGCAATTAACTGAACATGAGAGAATTTTTCTTTGATGCAAACCAGGACGAAAGATTAAAAGTTCATCTAACACTTTCCGTACGAAGGATGATTTATGTGATGAGTTGCATAAAATACGGATTGAATAATGATGAAAATAATTATTAAGCAAAAGCTGTTGGATGGATGGACCGATGGTTGCATGAATAAAATTCAATTTTACTACTTGTCCATTTTTACAAATTAATTTAGGTGTACAGAGAATGCATTTTTGATTTACACGAATTTAAAGTAATAATACTGAATATTTTACCTATATATGTGTGTTTATAATAAAATTGAAATTTGTGACATTTGGAAGCACGGATTAATACGCAATAATTAATATACCATTAAAATATGATAGGCCAAGCCAATATGTTAATGACGCGAAAATATGTTAATGACGCGAAAATATGTTAATGATACGCTAATATGACGTGCCAAAATAATAATAAATAACATGCCTGTTGCCAACAAGACAGCGACTTGCCAATGGGATATTAAATGTCCATTCCTTTATACGATGATGATGATGATGATTTCGATCAAACTTGTTGAGTTGAAGGCAGGTCAAACACTGTCTTATCACGTAATATATATATATATATATATATATATATATATATGTGTGTGTGTGTGTGTGTGTGTGTGTGTGTGTGTGTGTGTGTGTGTGTGTGTGTGTGTGTGTGTGTGTGTGTGTGTGTGTGTGTATCTTATATATATACTTATGATGAATATATACGCTAGCTCAAATCAACCGATCATCAACTGCAAAATTGAATTGGCAGTTTTTTTATAACATATCGTAAGTGATTTTATAATAAAATTGAAATTTGTGACAATTGGAAGCACGGATTAATACGCAATAATTAATATACCATTAAAATATGACTTATTCAATCCATTTTTCTTGTTCACCTCCTTGCTTCATTTAAATTTGAAAAATGAAACCAAATTGAATGAATGAATGAATGAATGAATGAATGAATAAATGAATGAATGAATGAATGAATGAATGAATGAATGAATGAATGAATGAATGAATGAATGAATGAATGAATGAATGAATGAATGAATGAACCTATATAATAATAGGAGAATAGAAAATGGAATGCTGGACGAATGAATTAATAAAAATAATGCATGAGCGAATCAACAAACGAATGAATTATAAAAAAACAACAACAACTGTTTAACACCAAAATTTTCAATAATTCAAATAGCTTAACTGACATTTTTTATCTGCAACACACATGAATTTAAAGCAGCAGGCCTATGTACTATTTACACATTATAATGGTGTAACTCCTACAACTGATGAATTTTCGCGAATGTTGTTAAAATTGTAAAATTAGTTTCAATTAATTCGATGGACAGCAGCCAACGGCAGAGCACTACCACTACCTAGAGTCTTCGATTTTTAACGTAAAAAATTTATTTTTTGATGTTGTTCACTGCAGGATTTTCATTCATTGTTTTTAATTTTTTTATGAAAAACTATTTTTCCACTTATGTGTTCGCATCCGTTATTTTAAAATAAACTGCAATAAATCCATTTCTCTGTCTGTCATGATTAAATGATGGATTAATTAGTGAAGGTATTAAAAAAAAATATTGAATTTATAACATTTTCAGAATCGGAAGAACAAAATCATCGTCGTAGTCATCATCTTCATCATGGCCTTCAAGATCATTATCATCAAAGACTGCCCGAAAAAATGGAACAAAAAATTCAAAACCATTCAAGCTTCAAGAGAAAACTCATCGTCTCCACCATACTGGTATGGAAATATTGAAAATAAAAATATTACAATGCTTGTAAACTTGGAGTCATTTTTACGAATTTCATACGACATTTACTTCACTACCAATAATAAAAACTTACTGGCATCAAAATTTCCCATCATTAACATCAAACAACACTAACACATTAATACAAGAGGTTCCGTCAAAAACATTATTGCAGGAGGAACCGTACATGATGCTGAAGCAGAACAGTCAGTTCGCCACGGGAAATGATCGTTTCGAGGGTTATCTGGCGGACCTCATGCGGAACTTGGCGACAAAACTCAATGAAAATTATGAGTTGAGGTTGTCGCGCGATGGTTCCTATGGTTTGCTGAACGAAGAAGGCACGTGGACAGGTTCTGTGGGGGAAGTTTTATCAGAAGTATGTATGCTTTCTTTATAATTTAATAACTTATTGATAACACAGCATTATAAAAATTTTGTTGCATAGCTTTTTTTGAGCCAAATTAAAATAAGCTTGATAAATTTCTGGTGTGAAATGAAAATAAATGCTATAAATATATCTTTGAAAGACTTTGCAGATAATGCTTTAGACACAAATTTCTTGGTGTTATCATTATTGCTCTCTGATGCGCTGTGTACTCGAATACATTTTTCAACAATCAGATAAAACATGCTTTGATGTTTGCGTTACGTAACTCAAATCAATCAAAACAAATTCACAATACCCATCAAGTTTATAGTTTCAAATTACACACCTGCTTCTTTCAATTGGAAGATTCTGCTAATTTTCGCAAAACTGCCAGACACATCATCATCATTACATTTTAAGGCTGCTTGTTTTTTATGCATCACTATGATTTTATATAATCTTTTGCTCGTTTCTAAATAAACCTAAATATTTTTACAAAAAAAATAATCAAGTTGAACGTATTTTTTTATTTAAAGAAAAAAATATCAACAAATTTTGTCTAATATTTATTCTATCGTTTTCATCTAGGTGTCAGACATAGCTTTAGGACCTTTAATAATTGACGAATTAAAACATCAGTATGTCGATTTCAGCGAGCCGTTTCTCACACTCAGATCTTCTGGTCTCGTACGAAGAAATAATTTTTTCAAACCGAAAAAAGAAGAAAGCGAAAGAAAACAACATAACAATAACCCTCCCTTCGGACAGCAACCTCAAAATAATGAAAAGTTGTTAGGACAAGCAAACAGCGATTGGAATAATTTACCCATTTCTGGTAAAAATCTTCTGCTGAACCGTAACTACACAATAGGCTTTCTAAGGAATGGACCAGCACAAAAATGGTTGTCAACCTCTAAAGATTCAGTTTTGAGGCAGGCTTGGGCTAGAGCATCCAACACATGGCCGTGTGGAATTGTAGAAAGCATTCAGGAGGGAATAGAACGAACTAGAAGAGAACAATTTCTTTTTATTGTCGACACAGCCACTGCAGAATACGTTGCAGGGAAGAAACCTTGTGATCTGGTCGCCACTGAACCATTTCTGGAACCTGTGAAATACGCATTGATTATTAGAAAAACAGATGAAAAATTAAAAAAGAATTTAGATAAATATTTAAGAGAAATGAGAGACAATTCAGAATTACAGAATTTGTACTTGAAGTGGTGGAAAGACGAATGCAAAAAATTCAATAGTGGACCGACATCCGAGGGCAAAGATAACAAACAACAGCTTCACAAACGCCAACCAGCCGAACCACTAGCCGATCAACAACCACTTGAATCAATCCTTCCAAATGTCAAATTTCATCAGACGTTTAAAGACAACTCGACGGGAGCTACCACCAACAAGCTGCCCAAATTGTTAATACTAATTTTACTTTGCTGTTTGAAAATTCTAATTTAGCGATACTCGAAAGACCACCAAGTTACGTCACACCAACCACACAACATCACATCATATCCACCATATGATTTTCCGCCACATTTATTCACATCACGCCAGCGCATTCCCGCTCAGATCCTGCTGTAAATAAATTCGTACAATCACAAATATTTTGAAGTACACATTTTTCTGTAATTTTTGAAAATAATAAATGGTCAAACTCTTCGTTGTAACAAGATTTTTAATTGCATCTGAACATCAAAAAAAGCTAACCTAATCACACAGTGTTGAAAAATTATTTATTTAAATACAAAAATACAGTTCGTTCTATGTACACAATTAACGTGCATTATATATATATAAGACAAGTAAAACTAACGGTAGATCAACAAAATATGTTTCCAAGAAACATATACACAAAGACGTATATATACATATATAATTAACAAGATTTCCAGGGCACCCTTTAGAAACAAAAGGTTTTCAAAAGCATTCTAAAGACTAAATTGAAATGTTTTATATTATTAATTTATCTTATTTATATATTTATATAATAAACTAAACGTTCTCCAAAAAACTTTAGTGAGAAAAATCGAAAAAACGAACTACAAACATATTAACGCCAAACATTCGGTAGAATTTATAGAATATTGTAAAAATTATGGTCTATTACCAACATATATATATATATATATATATATATATATATATATATATATATATATATATATATATATATATATATATATAATATATATATATATATATATATATATATATATATATATATATATATATACAGTTGTTCAAAAAATCCACCGACGATTCAGCATTAACAAGTTTTATGGTTGATTTTCTAATATTTTGAACTAGTTCTTTACAATTAAGTCTATTCAAAATGTTGAAATCCATTTTATAATCGTTTATGATTTTAATTGTTAAAATTAATCAAGCAAGATCCCATTTTTATAATCGTTTATTTTTTATATTATTATTAAAATTATGCATATAGATCTATTTCGACGTAAAGTCATCATCAGTGCAATATATTTTAAATAAATTCTATTAATAGTTGATTAGTTGTATTTTTTAATATATTAAAATAAAATAAAAGTAACGAAATAAAAACGCAAAGGTTCATTGAAATTAGTAAACAAAATATTTGAAATTATACGATTGTTCATGCTATGTGGCCGTTGTTGTTCTTTTTATTGTTGCTGTTGTTGTTGCTATCGTTGTAATTAATTTCGCGCTTCAAATTTGTGACATTGTTGGTTGCCATCTTGACAACGTATGAACAATCGTATAATTCAAATTT